GGCGCCCCGCCGCCTCCGGCCCGGCAGCAGCCGCGGCCCAGCTCGGCCCTCTCCCAGCTCCGAGCCCTCCCCGCCCCGGCGGGCCGCAGGACCCCTAGGACCAGCCCCACTTCGTGAGGGAGCTGTAATTAAGCGCAGCTTATGATTTAAAATTCGGACTTGTTCTTTTCCCCAGAAAGAAGAGGTTGAGATCTTTAAGACAACAGAGGGGTGCTCTTTCCCACCTTTTTTCTCCCCCAGAAAAAAAGTCTCATTAAAGTTTTTGCTCTACTCTCGGACAATTTTCAAGAGATAACTGAAACGCTCCATGGAAGATCGCTTAAATGCAACCAGGGCAGCTCTGAGGTGTTTAGTTTAACGACACGAGAAGGACTGATAGTTGCCTGGTTTGCACTACCTACAGTTCGTCATCAAGTTTTAGTAAGTTAACCGGAAAGGAAAACAGTACAAGTTTGCTTGCACCTGCCTCTGGTAGCATACTACCAACGTGGAGCCTGCCTTCAGCTCTCCATGTGCCCTTACAGAAATCCTACAGTGGGAAGGAACCCTGCTCACCCGAACTCAAGTTTTGGATATAAAGGTATCTGGGTAAAACATGCTATCAATGTATGTAGAGGCGCATATAGGTACACACATGAAGCTACTCATTAAATCACTAAAATAAAAACACTGAAAAAAAAGTTGCATCTTTATTCCAACAGAAATTTAACCCTTTATTGCACGTTGACCATATACGTGACAGTTATTTCCCGTATTTCAACACTGATGCTACACCTGTCAAGGGTAATGTTGCTTGAAGATGCAAAATTTCAGGCACTGATCCTGCAGTTCAAGTTAGAACTAAAACTATTTACAAAATTTTAATTCCTTGTGTAATATTCTAGTTACTATAGGTTTAAAAAACATTGTTTATGCAATACAAAAATCAGAAGATTGCTTTTTTACAAACAATATTTTGACAATTTTCTGTATACAAGTTTGATGTTTCAGAGGTTTTTGCATTTTATTTTTTCCTTGTATCCAACTAGCAATTTCTTTAAGTAGAATCCAGTAAAGCTTGTGTTTTATAATTCTTTACCATATAATATAGAATCAAGATAAATTTTACAAGCATATTTCATAGCCTTTGGAGTTGCATTTCCTTCTATTCAATTGAGAATTTTTTGGATATGATTTTCAAAATGCACATACAGAATGTGAGCGTGTATTAATGACTTAATACTCTTCTCTCCATTTTTAAATACGCCTCTCAAAATTTTCAAGTCTTCCAATCACAACACTGAACATCTTAATGAAAAGTCAAAGCTGCAGCACATGATGATTTAGGCCTTAAACATAAATTTATAGTTATTCTTCTTTTGAGCATATTTCACTCATGAATCAGTTAAAAATGCTAGCAGCTTTTTCTAGGAAGCATCCTTTACATGACTGAAAGCAAGTCACAGAAATTTCTTATCCCTTCATTTTTCAAATATCAATCTAAAAATACTTGAGGGTTTGTTTTATTTTTTTTTTTTAAAGTTGTATGTGCTTTACGAAGAAGACCATACTAACTAATACTAATCTATTATTGTTTACTAGAAAATGATCACTCTAGAAATTAAATAGTTTATTTGATGTGCCAATTCCAGATGGAAGCCTGGGGTTTGATGCAGAAACTGTGGGGTGAAGTTCTTTGGCCAAACACAGTCAAAGAGGACTGTACTAGTTGTCCTGCCGGCCTGACAAATCTTATGAAGGATGTAACTTCCATAAAGATGTATTTAATACGTAACAGCTAACGTATATGCAGTTATTCTCCTTGTGTTACAGAAATATTGAAAGTAAACAACTTCCCTAATTTCCAGATGTGCCTCAAATTAAAAGTTTATGTAAAATGAAAACTATCTGCTAATATAAACTTCAGTGACTTGCTATAGCAATTAAAAACCTTATGGTCATCATAGCTACAGAAATTCTCTTAAGGCTTCCAGACAGAAGAGACCTTACTATGTTTTGATGGACTGGAAGTCAGTTTCTTCAATGGAATTTTAATGAATGTTAGAATAAATTTAAGATTGGTCTATGTAAATAAACGCTGAAAATAAGTAGAAGAGAGGAAGTTCCTCTCCAGAGTAGCACTTCTTCAGAATACAACTTGAATATATCAAGGATTATGTTAGAAGTCTACATAGAGTTGATCAAACCAACCAACAAGAAAGGAAAGACAACTTGTCCTGAATTTGTACACATCAGTTTTAGAAAATGGGAACAAGTTCAGCGTAAGAAAAATCCAAGCAATATTAGAGGATTTTACAAATTTCATGCTTTGATATAGCATTGTACAGCAGATAGTTTTAAAGTTAACATTTCTTACAGCTGACAAACAGGTTAATTCTACCTTTATATAAAAACTATCAACTGCTAAATTCAAAACTAATAAGCAGTAAAAGGTGTGAACCCTATTTTTATCTCAGACATTTTTTGAAGCATTATATTCACATTACCTTATTACTTCTTTCTCCATTGAAGGTTTTAAAATGCAGTTTATTTAGTTCCAAGTTCTAAACCATTTCCCTTGCCATTGCAGGTACCAGAAGTCCAAGAATTATCCTTTAAAATTATCCATACTGCTTGCTGTAAGTTCTGTACTGACCATACAGAAAAATAATATTATAGAAGACATTTATCTCTAACTAGGCAAGAAAAACGAATACTGCACTGGGTACACCACAACACTCTGTGCAGGAGACTCACTGCTATATTTTAAAAATACATACAGTGTGAATCCTTATTATGCAAATAAATTTTCAATAAGCCACATTCCTTACAATGGTAACAGACCATTCTGAAAGGTAAGAATATAAAGAAGTTACTATCAGTATAACATTAAAAAATTATACAAAGACAATAAACATGGAATATTATTGGAAAAAAAATCAGGAGAGAATGAGAGAATGATTAGTTTATAAATAAGTCAGATGACATTCTCCAAGAGCTCATATATTTATTTTAAAGGGGACTTTAATATGCTTTTGGCTCAGTACCAGAAAAATACCACTAGCCCTGTCTTAATTTCAAATATTCTTTAATTTCTAATGGCAAGAATTTGATTAGGTTGGTTTATATATTTGAAAGTAGTGAGAAATGCCTGATCCAAGTTTTGCACAATAACATAGTCAGACTTTGAAATTCTAAAAAAAAATTTAAAAAGCAGTGGCATACATGCTTTTGTTACCCAGTGACAGAAATAGGACTGTATTAAGGAAGATTAGCACCTCTCCCAAGATCAAGAAAGAGAAGCTGTAGCAGTTTAAGATTTCAAAATACCTGCATATTATAAAATGAACTGTACAACTGAAATACCCAACTGAGTCTTTGTCTTTAACCCTTTATAGCATGGTCTCAAATGTAGGGAGTCTTGACTGCCACTTCCACAGTACTTGAGTTGCAGTACACATTTAGTAATACAATTAGAGGAATACATGCAATAAACCATAAGCCAGAAACTGAAACAAGATTACTTTGGATTTTTTTTTTTTTGTTTTTAGAAGCACCTATCCATTTACAACTGTGAATGTACTTTCTTGACAAGGCATTCAAAAGTAAATGCTATTAACTGCTTCTATTTTCAAGAAAAACCAAGTTATTTTTGATTACTTTTCAGTATTTTGAAGAATGTGGATATATATTGATATACACAGATGTATATCTACCTATATATGTATATATCTCACAACCTTTGTTTGGGACATAGTATAGATGGTCAAACTGACAGTGGGTAAATAGGAATTTCAAAAGAGACACCTGCATGTATTTAAAAAATCTGTACTTAAGTATCCTTTTAGTTTCATAGTTTTAGTAACATTAATGTTTTACAGTAATTTCACTACTGATCTTTTATAGCTTAATGGTATTTCTATAAACACTGCAGAATTGAAATATATTTTATACAGTTGAAGTTGCTCAGAATGAACCTCCATGTGAACATGAAGAGTTTAAGACTGAAAACTAGAAAAGTGTCAGGCACTGACAAGCTTGACAGTAGACTGCCTTAAGCTTAACAGTTTTAGTGCACATTCCTATGTGCAGAAAATACTGACTTCCATGGAAGATGAAGCAACATGTTCTAATGAGCAACAAATTCTTACATTTTCATACTCAACAACATTAAATCTAACTCTCATATTTTATTTTGAAAGCCCACTTATTGTTGCATATTTAAGACTCCTAGTTTTTACTATTTTGGCTATATGGATAATTAAAAACTAATGTATAACAGTAGAATGCAGAAATGTGTGCAAAGGTCAAAGATTGTTTAAAAAACAAACTCAAGTTCAAACAGATTTTGCTCTTGCATCTTATTATTTTGCCTAGATTTTCTTCAGATCTTAATTATATTTAATGCACTAATCTCAATAACTATAAAACTCCCAAGTTTCTTAGCTTTCATAGGTTTGTAGGAATCATCAATATAAAAACAATTACTGAAAAACATATACATGGAACAACTGAAGAATTGCATCAGTTTTACATGAGACAAAGCTCTACATCAGTTATCTTCAAAATGTACCTGATTTGACTTTGATAAATAAGTTACTTAAGTATGTAATACAATCAACATACTTACCTGTGGGATAAAGCTAGAATGTTACAGAGTTTGGTAACATGTCTACAGCAAAAGTAGACATTTAAAGTACTTCTGCAAAAGACTCAAAGCCAACTTCAAACAGGAAGATGATTCAACAGATAAAGTGTATTTTCATTTGAACATTGTTTTCCATCTTACAGAATTACTACTTTTAGCATACCTTTTTGGGAAAAGTGGGAAAAGCTGAGAACATGCTGTCCAAAAATACAGTAGCGATTTGCAAGCAGACGTTCCTGCAGAAAAGTGAAGTTTCCAACATCCATTTTATCAGCAAAAGTATTCTCTTTCAACTCTTAGTGTGTTTCTGATGGTGACCTCCATTTTGTTTTTAAACTGCTTGTATGACTTCGTTATAGGGAGCTCTAAGCAATTAAGGAGACGCTTTCCAACAGGATACTTTATATGCAAAAATTTAATAGTAGGTTCAGGATCAAAACCAACAGGTGGTATAGAAAAAGAGCCTGTTACGAAGAGCAGAATATCCTCCAACGTCACTACAGACTCACCACCTAAAAAAGCAGAATTAGGTTGTGTCATTCATTGCCTATTAGCCACAAATCATTATCCTGCATGTTAAGGAAACATAAGATTGATATGTCAAATAAGAAAAATTTTAGCAAGAAAACTCCACTTGGGTTAGTTCTGAAAATTTTTTAAGTGTATAGAAATAAACAACTCTTCTGCAAGAGGAGACCATCATTTTCTATCTTTGTGAGACATACACTAATTAAGTTCACAGGAAAGCTAAGGAGAGGGAATGAAAAGATTTTTCTGTACCATTCAGGTGTTTGGTTTTTTTTAAAAAAAAAACAACCCTCACAGGAGTTCTAGAACCAATCTCTCAGATATTTACCCCTCTCAAGTTTGGTTATAATTGGGCAACAGTTTCAGAAATTATGATTAGTAAGGAAGAAGGAACAATTAGGAACCAACAGGGACCTCAAAACCTTCCTTTATCTACCTCACTGAATTCTAAAAAACAAACCTTGTATGTATACCAAGAGCTAAATACCCTGAACAGGGAAGGGAGAAAAGAGCAAAAGAAATTACTTACTTTCTACATCTTGCAAGTAACCCATCCAAAAATTAACAGCTCCAGTTTTATTTACATTTGATGAGGAATGGATTGTAAAGAGATCACAAATGGTTTCTGCTGAAAGTCTTTCAGGTTTGTGGCATAATATACTAGAGAATGCATCTGGATACATTTGCATTTTCTCTAGCACACCAAGAGTTTTCAAACCTTGCCTAAAACTAGGAGGAAAAAAAGAGAAAAGAGTAAGCATGCGTCAGAAAGCCAGTAGGTAACTTAACTCTGCATTTTATAAAGCTGTAAGACTGGACATAACATTTCCCCATCTGCATTCTCCAAGTCTTATGAATATGGTGTAAATAGTAGTTCCGTTTAATTTTAATCTTAGAAAATGTGTTTAATTCTCATTTTAACAATCTAAGTGTTTCTGCAGAGCTTTTTGGGCAGATGAAGGAAATACCAGCGATATTTAGAAGTTAGCTTTATTTCCTGATACTTGATATATGAGCATGGTTTACTTCTAATTTTTCTGTAAGAACATATTGAATTTCCTTTTTACAAGCACCCCTTTAGAAAACAGTTTAAATTCCTTGTCCCTACACAAAATGAGGTGTCTTAAAAGACAACCTTCACTTGATTTCTGCAGTCTGCATGTGTTTACATGCCATTATCTCTCCCAAATGGGAGATGTGGCAAATGTGGGCAAGAGTATCCCGGGCTGCATTAGGAACTGTCAAGGAAGGTGATCCTTTCCCTCTGCTCAGCACTGGAAAAGCCACAGAGTGCTATGTACAGTCCTAGACTACCCAGTACAAAAGATACAGACACACTGGAGAGTGTCCAACAGAGGACCACTAGGATGCTTAAAGGGACTGGAGCATAACGCTGTAAGGAAAGGCTGAGAGCACTGGGACTGTTCAGCCTGAAGAATCTCAATGTGTAGAAGTATCTGAAAGGAGTGTGCAAAGAATTTGGAGCCAGACTCATTCCAGCAGTGCCCAGTGACAGGACCAGAGGCAGTGGGCACAAACTGAAACAGGAGGATTCATCTGAACATCAGGTAACACTTTTACTGTGACAGTGACTGAGTGCTAGCACAGGTTGCCCAGAAAGGTTCTAGAGTCTCCATCCTTGGAGTTACTCAAAAGCTGTCTAGACACAGTCCTGGGCAACTGGTTCTAGGTGGCCAGGCTTGAGCAGGGGGTGGTGAACAAATGACTTCCTGAAGTCCCTTTCAACATACACACTAATCTGATGCTGTGGGGTTTTTTATTTTTTAAATAGCTCTGCAGGTTGAAAAAAAATTTCACTACTTATACTGGATAAGAACATTTCAAGCTACCAGCTTTACAATTTAACCACCATGTTAAATCAGAATTAAAGTTTTACTTGTTTTCTTAGGTCTCAATAGGCCAAACGAAAAAAAAATAATCAGAATAAACCTGTTGAAAGTGTACAGTCAGTGGTGTAGAACATTAACAGCTAAAGAGACTAACTCACTACTTACTTAGTCCTTGATATTGACAAGCAAATTCTTGTTCTGTTGACTTTTGCACACTTTAAGCCCATCTCCAAAAAGCACACAAACCCCACATTTTCTCATAAACACAAACGTTACTTACTACCTTTCACCTTTTAACTGATTAGTTTTAAAATATGGTATAGATTGGTCAAATATGCCATAGATGGCCTTGACTGAAAGACTAATTACTCTCAAATTTGTTAAAAAAATACTTGCATTCAAAATTAGTTTCATAGCTCTTGGAGATTCAGTTGATTCAAATTTGTCAAAGAGAACACCATAAATGTGTAAAGTGTAAATCCAACTCTACTTGTTGGAAAAAATGAACATCCAATGACTTTTTAGTGAGCAGATGAAGAATGCAAATTTGAAGTAAGGTCAGAGACCAATCAGAAAATAGTCAACTGCTGCAACTTTCCCAGCTATTTGAAGTCATCGCTACCTCATGGAAACACCAATGCAATGCTTGCGTTTTAAGTGGACCAATTTACGCTTACGTACGTTATTGCCCTCCTAATGGCACACAGAAACTCCCTAACTAGAACTCTGAAAAATTAAAATTCTAAATTTATGTTTAACACTTCTAAAATTTAAAAATTCTAAATCTGAGCAATTCTGAATTAAAAATGAACGTAAGAGAAATTCTGTAGTGCAGAGGTCTGTCATGCTATAGTTTACAACTGTGAATATGCCGCCCTCTTCATACAGTTGAAAAAGTGACAAGGGAATTGGAGCAGAGCAGATACATAGAGAAATAATTTCAGTCTTTCAGTTTAACTAACTAGTTAACAGTTGCTGCTTAATCCACTGAAAATTACAGTACATTTCATTGGTTTAAATGGAGAATAAGAACATGTGAAAGTTAGGTTGAGCAACATATTAGTTAGTATTTCAGTGAGGAAAATATCCAGGAAGTTTGAAAACTCAAACCAAACCTTTCTAATGGCGAAATAATTCTCTTGATTACATGATGGAACAATATGTCATTCACCAGCATATTCTTATCACACAAAGCTGTTATAGGTCTTAAACATCCAGAAGCAGCAAGGAATTCATAACAGTTGTGTATTGTAGACTGTAGGCTGGACAGACTATTTGCATGTTTTATCTGTATCAGAAGATAAAAGTTAGAAATCTGTTTACTATGTGTGTGTATATATATAAGAATAAGCTTCTTAATTTGAACTGAAGGTATATTCAATAAGCCCTTCTTTAATCTCCAAATATAGTCTTAAACAAGAATCTGCCAGTAAGTTTTGTTTTATTTACCATTTGTATTGTTTGTGCTACATCAACATCAACAACATCTTCCAGTACTGGTTTCACATTCTCTGGACCATGGACAAGACAACTGAACAGTGTTTTGGAAAAGAAACCAGGAGATGGGCCACCGTGAACCAGAGAAACTGCAATCATTTTACCAGCTTCAAAATAATGATCCTCTGTTACAGCTGCAAATGAGAAAAAACACAAAACTATATATGCATAAAAATATGTGATGCTCATTTTAAAATTCCTTCTTACTTTAGGATGTGCAGCAAATTAGGTTTGCATCTCCTGCTGGTTGAAAACAGCAAGACCAGATTTTTTTTTTTTTTTTTTTTTTTATATACACAGGAGTACCGTATTCTTTTACTCCAACTCTTCAGCCACTATATCAAGGTTTGGGAGGAGATGTAACATCCTCTTCCACTTTGTACCCAATGCACATTTAATTCTGATGGGTAAGAACTCAAAGAAGCCAACTCTGGATCTTTAGGGAGCATGCTATCAGAGATGTTATAGAAATTTGAGGAAAAGAAAATATGTAACTGAACAAGTGAGTTTGGAAGAAAAAACTTCACTTGTAGAGAACAAATACATGAATTAAAAAGTTGCAAGTCTAATTATAGGCTGTATTTTTTTCTTGATTGTCATCAACTTTTCCAACTAAACCCATTTTTTTTGTTATTACAACTCTGCACCCCTTTAGAATTGAAAAACAAAAAAAAACCCAACAAAAAACCGCCAATTTCTATCCATCAGGACTATAATTGTGAACTGACAGTCAGGCTGGCTGAAGTTTTAAAAACCTTAAACAGTTCTAATGTATTTTTGAACAAAGCATTTAATTACCTTCAAAATCAAGGGACAAGTTCTTTGCAGAAGAGCCCTCAAACAGTGATGAATTCTGAAGGTGAAGCATTAATAACTGGAAGAAATGGTGTTTTGATGCAGCAGAAGTATCTGTCTTTGACCTGTTTTTGACGTTTGTGAACTTTATTTCAATGGTGTTTGTAGGACTGAAGTTGCGCTGTCTAAATCCTTTTAAAGCACTATTCCAGATATTTTCTTCATTGATATGAAGCCTTGAAGTTTTTGTATTAACTTGTAGATTTAACTCTTTCAGTATATTAGAAGCTTCCCTTCTTTGCTTTCTTAAATGCCTACAAGAAAATTGTATGTATTTTCAGGTGAAATCTGATTCATAATTAGCAACAATTATACAGGAAACAGGAAATCCTAAAAACCTATTAAGAAAAACACCTCTTTAAACACTTTGGTACATTTAGGTCTTGCTCAAATTACATCAGCAAAATATGTGGTGTAGATCTTTCAAATTGTAACTGTAGTGGCAAATTTTAAAGTACCTCTAAGAACTAAAAAAGAGGTAGAAATAGTTACATTGGCATAAAACTAACAGTTATTTTCTTAATTCAATTACACCAGAGCCAAACAATTCTCACACCATCATTCTACATTTGAACAATGTGAAACAAGTGAGAAATAGATGAGTTTACCATATTTGTGTTAAAGATGCTTTGCAATCAAATGAGAATACAGTTACTCACTAATATTTAATCTGCCACTGTAATCAAAAATACATTTGAGAAATGTGTTATTTTTTAAAAATTAGAACTGCAACAGATCTAAATAAGACCCCTTCTTTATTTTCTAACTTTCAAGCAAAACCATTTCAAGTACCCTACCTACTAGAAGTAATTAATTCCCTCCTCTAAATTTTTAGCACATATTACAGGTGGAATCCATAAATCAAGTATTCACAAGACACAGAATTTTGTATCTTTAAACTGTATAGTCTGTATTAAAACATGTTATTTTACCACTGATTTTAGCATAAATCATGAACTATTCCTTTGGTACAAATCCCAAAACATTAATTTGAAGAAAGTAATTAGGACTCTTAATTCCCCCTTTTCTAAAAAAAATGGCTAGCCATTCAGAAAGGACAAATAGGTGTTCCTGGGTTTTGATCCCCTCACTAACCAACCTAAAATTCTCAATATCATTCTTTTTTTCTAACCCCCTCTAGCATTTAGAAAGAACAGAAGCCTTGTATCAAGTTGACTTCAGCTTTACAGTGTACTCAATTCAGTTCTTCCAGTGACTATATACACACAAATATATACATATATAGCCACTATATATATATATATATATATATACACACACACACACACACACACACACAGAGAGAGCATGTTCTGTAAGAAATATGGTATAAAGCTATGTCCTGAATTACTCTTCAACGTAAGAAAAAAAGAGGAAAATACTTTTTCCTCAGGCACCAGTTTCTGTCTGACATCAGTGGAGATAAAGACATCATCACTCTGTTGGACGCTGGAAGTTCTAGGTGTGTGCAGGGCAATGAGTTGTTCTGGCACATTCTCTTAGGTGATCTATAAGATAAAACAGTATTTTAAGAGGAGATACAACTGAAGAATGTATAAACACAGCAATATAATTTCCTTCTATTTCAGTACTGATTCTCATTTGTATGTTCATTTACATGAAAACCATCAGTGCCTGAACTACAATTATAAAGTAATAATTCAGTATTTTATTACGTGGTGGTTTTAGAATGTTTTTAGTTGCATTCCATACATGAGATGGAAGTCCCAACTGATACAAAAAGTAAAAACTAGAAATATTAGATTTTATAGACTTGAAAAGTTATTACAGCAGAAGAAAACATTATTTATATAAATACCATTAAGCTAGATTTCTAGCACCTATTAACATGAAAAAAATATAAGCAGCCGTAACTTTCTTTTGGCATTTGTAAATTCAAAGTTAGTTCTAAAATAGTTAATATTCCTTTTACAAGGATCTAATTTCGTCAAACTAAAAACTGGTTTACATGCCACCAAATGCAAATAGCGACAGCAAATTTACAGAGTTCATGGCTTACTAGGAAAACTTAAATCACTAAAATTTATTCCAATTTTATTCAACTTGCAATTTAGTGTAAGAAGCTTCTCCTACAGAATAATCTATCACCTCCTCATCTTTAAATACTATTTTATGTTATAATCAGTTTCTGCTTGAAAACAGAAAGTTACACACTGGAGAAAACTGCGTTGAGATCCAGGTGACAGCCGAGGGCACTTTGGAGATGGCTCTTCTAGCAAACAAGTTGTCCCATCTGTCTTTTCAGAGGTAGCCAAAGAACGCTTCTTCTGTTTGCTGTAGTTTCCTGTATGATTAAATTATATTAATACAGTGAATTTGCTTGCTCTAAAATAGATTATTAGAATTTTCCATTTTTAGAAATCGCTGTCACATCCGTATCTTTACCTGATTTTGCAAAGATACTTCTGCATTCCATGCACTCCCAGTTTTGCTCCCATGACTTCATAGATGAACAGGCCAAATGAGTTCCACGGGAGCCACAACAATGACAACGCTTTATTTCCCATTTACTAAAATTAAAAACTTATCGATTTAGAATTAGACAGAAAAATGAGGCTAGTTAAAACAAAGAATATTCAACAGTAAGTGTAATCCAGACGCTAAACTAACAAAGCCTAGTTGTATCAATCTGGTAGGACAGTATATAATCAAGAGACTTTCTTCAGACAAAATGTACTCACAATTCCTGACTGCAACAAGGAAAAAAAAGTTTCTACATTCCTTATATTGAAAGAGGCTGTGAGTTAGTATGCTCCCTTGCCTTTAAGTCAATAGCTTGCAGCCCATATTTTCTCCTCATATTACTAGATAGCAACATCCTCTGTATTTTTTCATTCAGCTTTTCCAAACGGTAAATTTTTTAAAGGATCATATCTGATTATTCTTACACATTCAGAATAGAACACTGTCATTAATGAAGCATCTAAGTATGTAAGGTTTTTTTCTGGATTTCTTAAATTTTGCTTAAACATACAATGGAACAATGTGACTTGATATTAGTTCAAATATTGGAAGCTTAAGGTACAACTGTTAAAGACAAAGTAAATCCTGAGGTGCACACATACCATAAACGAACCAAGCAATGTTTGGTCAAATCTGAACAATGCCTACAGGGAGTAATCTACCATAGTACTACAGAAACAAGTCTTCAAAGTAGAGGTTCTGACAGCTTTGAGTACAGTCATGCCAGTGGAAGACAAATTTCAGAAGCAACACAAATAAAACAAGAAGTAACACAGAAAATTAACTTGTTAATCAAAAATCAAGCAAGTAGAGCAGAACACTACATATAGTGGAGTGAACATTACATGACGACTCAAACCTCTCATACTATCAGCAATATTTTAGCTACCACTTACATACAGAGGGATAGCTTGGCTAGACCGATTTGAATTTGATTTTACACAGCTAGTTAATTTTCAGCTAAGTCTAGTACGTTAATGAATTTCTTGTAAAGGTATTAAGTGTTCTAACAATTACTGAATTGTTGAATTAGGCTTTGAATGAAAGCTACACAACATTAGTTTAGGCACATGCTATTCTGCATGTGGATGTACAAATTCTACTTCAGCTCTGTATCACATGATGATAACTGATAATTGGTTTGGTTTCCTTGGCTTTTGCAGCATTAGAGAAAATTAATATTGAGATGTTATTATAGGGAGTAAAACAAACATTTTATTTGAACACGGTATCTTGGCTTGACATTAAAACCTGATGCTGAAAAGTATTGAAGCATTTAAATACAGAAAAAAAATCCTAAAGTACTATTCCATCCTAGGTTACACCTTCCTGGAAAAGTGTCATACCTATCAGGTTCATTATAGTCTCTTCCTTTCTTGCAGAGACATCTTTTAATATCACAGTGCTGATAACACTGCAGTAGTTCTTGATATGCATTCTCTTCAAGTTCCCAAGATGCATCCCTATAAACAAGTCAGAATATCTGTTATTACAGCTGTATTTCTGATCGTTTAAATGGGTTACTCCGTCTTTGGAAAAGATGTATGTAATAACCACCTTAAGGCATTTCAATCATGTAACGTTCCATGCAACAACTAGACAACTGAGAGGGGGAAGAAAAAAGTCTAGGAACAAAAATACTACTATAAAATACACAGACATTTTCTTGTGTACAGTTAATTCTTTTTCATATGACCTCAGTGCATGTTTGCTCTGTTTTATATTATTCTGTTTTCTCTCTGTGCTGGTTTAGGCCCTGCTAGGACCAGAGACCACATTGCCATTGCCCCTCCCCCACCCTCAGCTGGTCAGGCTGGAAGTGAGGCACAAATCCCAGGTTAAAATAAGAGGAAATCTGCTTATTACACTGTTGTATTAATCTGAACAACAACAGTAGCAATGATAGCAACAAAAAACAGGAATAACAGTAAACAAGACAAAAGATATACAGAGAAATACCACAATGGATACAGACAGCCCCATGCTTCCTGCGACCAAAGCCACAAAGGAAAGCTTCCCGTGCCTGGACCTGATGTCAGCATGGTTTTAACAGAGCTGGAGATAGCTTCCCCCTTTCTCTGCTGGGGAAACTTAACCCTATCCTAGCTGAATCAGGACACTCTCTCACAGCAGACGTGGATATTTGCTTTGTCAGTCTACTCAAGTCACCACTGAAAACAGTCTCATGAAAAGCAAGTCAGAATGTTCCAGGCTGGTATGGCAAAGTTAATTAAGTATTTTAACTCTCCAAAATCTTGAGCTTCTGTCTCTTGAGATAATTAATAGTAGTCTCTGAAGAGACTAATAGTTAAAGAATACTACTTCTAACAAAGAAACATCATTCCGATCACTTTGTCTTATTCTGGACCCCATCAAATGGTAGCAACATATGAAAAACAGGTCAGAATTTCAGAAGCAGTTGTTATAGTAAACATAATCCTTAGCAATCCCTTGGGAGAAGATAGAGGCTGTATGGCTGAGTAATCAGTCAATTATAATACTGTCTGGACAGAAATTCAGGTAATTTAAAAACCTTGGCACAGAAAATGGTCTTCTCACCAATCTCTCTGTTTATGCAAAATTACTGTATTTAAGAAGTGTTTTGATCTTTTAAATAGGTCCCTGGTTGAATCATGGCATTAAAAGTTACTTTCCAGAGCCTCCTGCTTTATGTTTGAGATTACTAATTTGGCCTTTGACAATTTTATGCATAACTAAAATTAGGAAACAGGCTACTCTTTACCAAACCAAATAATTCTACCATTGAAGGCAGAACTGAGGTTTCATGTGTTAATAGATGCAGTTCTATAGAATAAATAAAAAATGGTTTTAACACCCTATCAAAGTTTTTATAAAAGTGTTATTAGTTAAAAAAATACTTACTTTTCTGGAATGTGTATGCCCATTCTCAACATTTCTTTCTGAAAGTTGTCCTTGTTATTACATACCGTGCACCTAAAGAAAAATATCCCAGCACTCAAAGCTTGATACTGCGTCAAGAAAAAAAGACACACAACAAAAAAAACACAAACCAATTATTGAATTACTACCATCATTAGGATGCCAATAAATAATGCCTTTATATCTATAACCATTACATTCACAAATATTGTTCTGACATGGATGTTAAAGCTGACATAAATCATAATGTCACTTGATATTGAAGCAAATGGCAAGCATTTTCTCTTCCTTTAAACGACAAGAGCTCACATGCTAGAATCAGGTTTATAAACAAAAGCACAATCCTTTTCAGTCAACCTCTCCAGATCTAGAATGAGTTTACAAAAATAACCTTGTAACTTTTTCTAGCTCTGGACTTAGGCAAGAAAAACCCATGATGGATAAATTACATTTTTAGCACCTAAATTCTGCACATGACGACTTGCAAAGTGGCAACTACCTAGGTTGGACTTCAGTTCTTAAAAATAACTAAAGGCATGAAGTGCAGAGACATGAGGGAAATTAATAGTTTTTTTTTTTTAAAAAAAACCCCTTCTTGCAAGACACTCGTCTCCAAACCACAATTTTAGCATTGTCCTTCAAAGCTAATGTATTTCTGTACCTACTGCCTACTTAACCCTAAGCAATTTTACAGAATTTTAAAGAACTGTTCCATTATTTTTAAACACAACAGAAATGCAATCGCCATGGGTGAAAAGAGAAAAGAAATGGAGAACCTGTGTTACCTGCAAGCATTCTCGATGAAACCAAGCATTTTTACAGCAAGGACTTTTCAGTACAGTGTACAGTGGAAGCTGTTCAACCAAATCCAGGCATATTGTACACTGTGATGTTCCTCCAGATTCTTTGTCTGGAAACTTTTGGACTGGTCTATGTTCCCAACAGTAAGATCTAAAAATAATAATTTGAGGTTCCCTTGTCAAAACAACATTTTAAGAACCTTTATCATATAATTTGAAGATAGCAAAATTAATTTGCTACTCAATCTGTTTTCCATGAATAAACACTGTGCAACAAGCTAAAAAGGCAAGACACATACTAGTTTTGGCTGGGATAGAGTCAATTTTCTTCATAGTAGCTTGCATGGTACTGTGTTTTGGATTTGCAATGAAAACAGTGTTGATAACACAAGGATGTTTTTGTTATTGCTGAGCAGTGCTTACACATCATCAAGGCTTTATTTCTCACACCCCCTATCAGTGAGGAGGCTGGGGGTGTACAAGAAGTTGGGAGGGGACACAGCCAGGACAGCTGTTGCCAACTCACCAAGGGGATATGCCATACCTTGATGTCAAGCTCAGCAATAAAACTGGGGGAAGGAGGAGGAAGGGGAGATGTTCGGAGTCATGGCATTTGTCTTCCCAAGTAACTGTTATACGTGACGAAGCCCTGCTTTCCTGGAAACAGCTGAACATTTGCCTGCTGATGGGAAGTGGTAAATGAATTCCTTATTTTGCTTTGCTTGCACATGCAGCTGTTGCTTTACCTATTAAACTGTATCTCAACCCACGAGTTTTCTCACTTGTTACCCTTCCGATTCTCTCCCCATCCCACTGCAGGTAGCGAGCAAACGGCTGTATGGTGCTGTGCTGCCTATCGGGGTTAAACCACAACACACATGTAAACAAATTATGTATCTAACAGAGCAAGTCAATAGAACAATAGCAGGAAAGAAGCATGCTGCCAACTGATGCTCTGTAACTTACAGAGATCATATATCCCCTTTCTCTCAAAACTTCTTTTGATCCAAATAATGTATTTCCTGTCCCCAGATCCCCAAGCTCTTCCTACATTTCAGCATCACCATGATGTTGAAGGAACAATTTTGAGTTTGCATATTGATTCTACAGAGTCTAAGTAGCATGATAAATTTTATAACTTAGACATTTTCAAAATAGTAAGACAGCCAAGAACTGCAGCTCTAGAAGAAACCTCTCTGAATATGCATTATTTTCAAATGTGCTTTACTTAATAGAAGTTATTTATTTAAGAAGTGTCTGCCAGACTTCAATCTAACCATCCTGCAAACTCAGTTCACAATAGGCACAATAAAGCTGTTCTCAAAGACACTCAAGAGTATTTTGACTACAGCCAAGATGCTGGACAGATGATAGTAAAAGAAAGTGTTTAGACATTTAATATTGAACACATTTCCCCTGCAGTCCACCTCTAATAAGATCTAGAAGTCTTGTGCTTTGAAACACGACAGAATGGCATACAATGTCTTTTGACTGCTGAGAGAGACAGGCAGCCAAACTATTGCCATTTCAAAGACTCAGGAGGTAGACAAAGAAAAGACCAAATCCAACCACTCTGCAGTTTATTTCAGTTTAGGATTTAACACTCAATTTTATAAACAATTTAACTACTTGTAGATGCAATAAATTTTATCTTTAAAAGTGTTAAGAATTTAGTTTATAGGTACTAGGTATGCAATATAACTGCTTGGCCTTTATGTTTTCCATAAATCAGGTATTTTTTTTATATAACCTGGATGTCATTTATAATTAACAGCCTATCCAGTGGCAACCCATGAAAAAACAAAATCACCTCCTGTTTAAATATAATGAAAATGAAAAAGCAACAAAAGCCAGAACTTACCTGAAGTCTTCCATGAACTGAAAAATACACTCCTTTTGTATTCCACAAGGAAAATGGTAACTTCGTTTGCATTTGGGAGCTACACATCCAATCGAGGCACCCTTTTTCTTACAGATATTACATTTCTAAAAATAATTCGTTGTAGAAATAACAGACTATTAACTAAAATCCAAGTAAAATTACAGGAGTTAAACCAATTTATAAAGTGTGTAACAGAATATTGGCCAATAGCTTATAACTGTGACAAGACTATTGTGTTTCAGCTCTATTCCAAAGAGTGAAGATACTTAGCTATTTCACAGACTTTGATTATGTATTGTTTTATATGCATGTGACATGTAAGCCAAAATACAAGTTATTTTACCCGTACCTATACTTTAGTTACATCTATAAAATCTTATAAGGTCAGCTTGAAGCACAGCATAATGTCACAAGGCATTATGCATATGTAATTTGCTCTTACTCATTTATCTGCAACATACCCAGGAAATAAAAATTTTAGCAAATTTTTGTAGGTTTTATTGTCCCTTGTGGCTTCCATGAACTCAATATACTTCTTAATCAAAATGTAAAATTCAGATCCTTGAATGAGCTGAGCACACTGCCCACTGGAGAAACAAAACAAACCCCACCGGCAATACTAAGACAACTCAAAAGGTTTTTTTCCCCATTGTAAGTATCAAAGATTTAATTCTTACCAGTTTTGCAGCTCTATTTACTTCTTTTCTAATATCTGTGATTAAGAATCCATCTACACCTTCATTTTCTTCCCCTCTCTGCCAAATGCCACTTGACATCAACTATGAAAACAAATTAAGTATTTTATAACATCCACCTACCTAAAGATTTAAAATTACCTTTACTGCATTTGTCAGGTAAGACAGAAGCTTAGTTTAACAAAGCTTGTGCGCAAACATTTTAATGAGTAAAAAATGGATCCAAAATTTCTATATATTTTTGTCTGATAAGACACAACAGGGAATAGTAACCAGTAACAGGAAGGTAAGCATTTCACAGCATCGAAGTCTTCTCATACTGTAGAGCTCAAGATGGTGTATTTTACCTTCCATTTTGAAGTATACAGACTATTTTAGATAATTATCAAACAATTACTTGCAGCATATAAAGCTTCAGAGGAAGTAAAATTAAGTAAGTCTTGTTAATGTGAATGACATTTGTGCTGTGGAGATAACGAAACACAGTAGGAAGTATATGTACTGAAGTGTAACCTAAGGGGAAAAAGTAGTTCACTTTAGAGTTAAATGAAATATTTAAATAAAATATTTAGAGTTAAATAAAACCAGAATTGAGTAACTAGGCAAGTCAGAAGAGCCTGATGATAATTTAGAGTTACTTCATAAGGAAGTTACATCACAAACTTCAAATAACTAAATAGTTTCACAACTTGATGCCTCCTATATTCTTTAAAATCCGATTTTATAGTTCTCATTTCAGAATTTCAATACAGCACCACTAAGTTTTATCAATATTTTACTCAAACAAATGTAAAATTTTATACCAAAACCAATTAAGATTTTTTTTTTTGTTTTGTTTTGTTTTTTAAATGTGAGACATTTGGCAAAGAAAAATGAAACTGCACTGCTAACTGGCCTCTTTCTAGAACTCTTTTCTTATGTAATATTCACTATAATTAAGTAAAAATCACATGGTTTTGTTTGGTTATTTTTAAAAAGCAGGGACCAAAACTAAAAAGATGAATGCAGCAACCTCATCACAGTAAAATATCTTATAAATCATAAGGCTCAGTGTTGCAAACATACCCTTGCCTAGCTGTTCTGCTCCACGAGGGAAGGGCTTTTTCCTATCATTTCATGTGGCCTTATGTATGAAACAAAATTATCACAAAGACCTAAATTTCCTCTCAGTTGCTTTATTTAAGAAAAAAAAAGTTCTATCTTTATGTAACTTCAGTAAACCTCCACTCTGCCTAGTCTTTAAAGGATTTAATATCCAACCTATTAAGCCATCTGCAATCAACACAATCTTTAAAGAACTGGTTAAGAAAACACCCCCCCCCA